TATATATATATGGCTCTCACTGAAATACATTTCCAAATATTTTGCTTTTATGGCTCTCTTAGTCAAAAATGTTCCCCACCCCTGGTTTATAGTAATACGTTTTAAAGTTAATTGATCACTGATGAAGCTGTATAATTCCAGACTACTTGACATTGCATTTGTAATAACTAATGGCATATTTTCACATTATTATTACAAAGCACAAATTAAACAGTTTTGCATTGCTGTTCATGGGTCAGAATTATATTTTGGACCTCATCATTACATATTGGATATCAAAACTGAGAGTCAAACGCCAAGGCAACCATCAAAAGAAAGTATCAGAAGATGAAGAATCACTGAGACAATCCCAAAAACCTTTGCTGGGCTCAGGTCACTGACTGCGAGTGGTCAGGATGTCGAGAGAAGCTCTGTGCTACTTATGCAGAACCAACTAGCTAGCTTTGTCTTCTAGTGTGACGTACTTCCAAGTATATTCTTGATGCCAATTGGCTGTCACCGATGAATGAGAGACTGTCTGGCCTGAAAAAAATGATGGAATGATGATGGATGTTCCCACCACTAAAAATGTATATACAGCTAAGTATTTGGTGGATATGTGTGTGTGACTTCTCTCATCTCCAAAGGGCACGATTGATTTATGATAGATGCAATCAGTGGGGAACAAGCTTGCTTGTCAATAAGTAATTTACACCAGTTAAACTTTGATTTGAAGTCACGTCCTTTGGACGTGTCGCAATTGCTAACCTGCTTTTCGATCTCTCAACTCTTAGTATGTTCACTATGGCAGCTTTATGACAGGCAAGGCAGACTTTGGCTATTTTAGACGTACCTTTGGGCTTACCCTGAGTGTTTACACATTCACATCGTTTGTGTGTCCTTCTTGCTCCAACTTACTACTGCTGCTGTACGGAGGGAGACCACTGCACACACGCAGCTGTGCCTCTGTGCATGAGTGTGCGTGGCCCTACCGCCACTCTGACTGCTAGCTGCCCACCAAAATAAACAAAATGAACTGTTGTACAGGGGCGTGCGGAGGTCATTTGATGCCCCGGGCCAAATGTTTGATTTGATGCCCCCCAGGCCTCACATTTGGCACGTTTACCAAGTTACCTTGAAAAGATTGCACTACAAATACTTAACTGCCGCTCCACTCACAATTTCTTAAAACTTTAACAATGACAATTGGTAGTTTTACAAAGCACAGCCATTTAAACATGAAGCACAAGTCATGTCCAATTCAATACCTGTCAACATACAATATGTTGCATTGCTTTGACATTAGCTTGAAAAGGGGACCCTAAAGTTTACCTAGCCTCTCAATTTTTTTTTACAATCAGGTGACATAAAACTTAAGACTGCAAAATGAGTTCTCTGGTATCTAATGATATAATATGAGCATTGCATCTAATTCATGAGTTGTTGCCATTGATTTCTTCATATGACATTTTCAAGTTACGAAATGCCTCAACAGGAAAATATTGCCTCTTGTTACAAAAGAAATTTCAAGATACGATAAAAATACAGTATGGATTGCTACTCACAGCTCCGAGTTTCCTGAACGCAACAAACTTATCGCTGCTCTGCCATTGGCTATTGCTGAGCATCTTCCTGGCATCCCATTGGCTAAGAGGGACCTCTACCGAAAGTGTCTTTGTGTGTAGACAGATGAAAAAATAGATATGTGTCTATGCAGCGTCCTCGTCTTTCGCCACTCGGGCCATGAGGCGTTCCGATAGTTTTACGTAAATGTGAATCACTCAGAAAAAGTGTTCACCAGTCCGGCGATCGCTCACTATGCTGATGTTTGCCTTGGACATTTTTGAAGGTTTGTTAAAAGCTGACAAAAGCAAATGTCCTTGGATCAGTTCTTTACAAAACGTCAGGCAAAAACCACTTCTCAGAGAGAACATGAACGAAAGAGGGAGAAAAACGATGAGGACGCAGTTAAAAGTTAAATGATATTTTTATTCTTTATTACATTATGCACAATTCTCATTTTTTGTGCAATAATCTAATTGTAACATGTAATTGTTACATATTTTAATGCATTTTTATGCTTCATAAAACATTTATGTTTGAATTTTGGGGGGCTTGGAACGGATTAGGGTATTTACATGTAAAACCTCTATACTTACAACATTTTCTAGTTCATAAATTTCTTCCAGAACCAATTAATTTCATAAGTACAGGTAACACTCTATTATTTATATGCATTGTCGGTGACATAATGTAGTTTGATCTAAAGCAGGGGTGTCAAACTCATTTCACATGGTGGGCCACATACGGCCTGGGTAGATGTCAAGTGGGCCGGACCATTAAAATGATACCATACTTTGCTATAAATAACCAAAACAACATGTCTTTCCTTTGTTTTGGTATAAAGAAGCACAAGAACATTAGGAAAATGTTGAAATTAAATGAACATACCTTTTACAAATAAGGAGCGTGCTATTAAATGTGTAAATGTGAGAGTGCTATTGATAGCGTCTGCTGTCATGGGTCTGTCTCAGTGATGGACTGAGGCTGCTGTTGTCTTCTTCTCTGATCAAAACAGTGTCCCCTAGCGGATACTCAATGAATTGCACCTTATTAAAAATATTTATTCTGTGTCTTTTATGCATTTTCTTCACTTTTAAATTATCCTGTGGGGCCTGATTGAACGGCCCGCGGACCGTATGTTTGACACCACTGCTTTACATAATCATCTCGCGGGCCGGATTAAAGTCCTTTGTGGGCCGGATCCGGCCCGCGGGCCGTACGTTTGACACCACTGATCTAAAGTGATCCCCAACAGTTTAATTTCAGCCACTTGTTCTAGGATTGGTTCTGCAGAGAGATAATTTGGGGGGTTCTCTCATGGCATTTTTAGAGCCCAACGTCCTACACTTTGTTTTTGTCATGTTGCGTGATGGTAGAGGACCCAAAAACCAGGCAGGCGGGAGAAGCAGGGTGGACTGCACAAAATGTATTAAAACACTGGAAAACTAAATCCAAAACTAAATCCTGAAAACACCAAGAAACCAAAGTAAGAAACAAACACAAACCCATGGCAAGTGCACAAACAATGTGCCAACAATACGACGAT